AGCATTTAAAAATACTACTTCAGTCTTAAAATTTTTCCTATTACTAATGGAATATACTTCCCCCAGATCATTTTGGATAAGCAAGTATACAAATTCCTCTGGGCAAGCTGGAAATATGACAGCCCCTGACAACTCAATAGGGAATTAATTCCCTGCCTGATACATGGATTTTGTTTGAAGAGACTCTTCACTCAATAAATTATCTTTCAGAGAAAATAACCCAGTCAAAAAATGGGCAGAAGAGCTAAAAAGAAACTTCTCTGAAGAGGAAATGCAAATGGCCAACAGACATATGAAAAAATGTTCAACATCACTTGTCATCAGGGAAATGCAAATCAAAACTACCATGAGATACCATCTTACACCAGTGAGAATGGCACATATTAAAAAAACTAGCAACAACAAATGTTGGCGAGGATGTGGAGAAAAAGGAACTCTCCTGCACTGTTGGTGGGAGTGCAAACTGGTCCAACCACTGTGGAGAGCTGTGTGGAGATTTCTGGACCTACTAAACATAGAGCTTCCATATGATCCAGCAATTCCACTCCTAGGTATTTACCCAAAGGACACACAAACATCAATTCCAAAGAACACCTGCACCCCTACGTTTATAGCAGTACTATTTACAATAGCTAAGCTTTGGAAACAGCCCAAATGCTCCAAAATAGATGACTGGATCAAGAAGATGTGGTACATATACACCATGGAATATTACTCAGCATTCCAAAAAGATAAACACATGCAATTTGCAGCAACATGGATGGCGCTGGAAGGGATCATGCTCAGCGAAATAAGCCAAAAAGAAAAAGAAAAATACCGGATGGTCTCACTCATAGCAGGAATCTAGAAAACTTAAATAAGGGATCAGGAAAATGAATAACTATAAGAAAGTGAAAATCAAAATCAACAAAAAACTATGAACCAGAGACACTTTTTGGGGGGTGGGGGCCGGGAGGGGAGGGATTGGGGTCAGAATGGGGCATGTGCAGTTGTATGGGGGAATATAAAAATAAAATTTATTATTTAAAATAAATAAATAAATTATCTTTCAGGATAGATGGCAAAAAGGAAGAGATCAGACTCCTTTGGGTCACCATGATATTCATTTATCAGATCAAACTTCTGACTGTATTCTCCTAGAAAAGCCCTAATTGTCAAACTTGCAGCTCCAGGGCACAAACAGCAGCCTTCTGAAATTATCCTTGGAATTGGAAGGAAACAACTTCATCTCCAAAAGAATGCTTTTGAGGATTTTTTTCCCTTGTCTTCCAAATCATTCTCACCTGACCTTCTGTCATGTCTATTCCAGTGACATGTCCCTTCTCACCAACCAGTTGACTCACTGCATAGCAATCTCTGCCACTCCCACTACCCAGGTCCAAAATCCAGCAGTTTTCCAGACACTCCGGGACCACTATACCACAGCCGTAATACCTGGGAAATGAGAGAGCGAGAGAGAGAGAGAGACAGAGAGAGAGACACACACACAGAGAGAATTATAGAGATGTGTGTATATGTGTGTGTGTGTATATATATATATATATATATACAAATTGTTGTATATTTGTATATATATTGTATATTTGTTGTATATTTGTATATATATATATACAAATTGTTCCCATTAAGATTCTAGAAATAAATCTTATAAATTCTTCCTCACTCCTTTTTCCTCTTATATTATTCATTTAATTTCTATTTAGGCATTTAGTCTTCCTCACTAAGCTGGAAGCTCCATGAAAGGTGGGACTCCTTTTTTTTTTTTTTTTTTCAAATTTTTTAAGGTTTATTTTTATTTACTTATACATATAAGAACTGGGGTGTAAGCCACAGGTGTGAGGGGTTAGAGAATTCACCAGAGATAGAGTGGGGAGCAGAACAGGCAAATCTACTGAAATACACTGCTGAGGGGAACAGTGGGCGAGACAGAAGAGGTCAGCTGCACCATGTGGGTCATCTCCTCGGCCAAGGATCGAACCTGTGCTGCAGTGACTGCCAATAGCTTCATAGTGCTGCATCTTAACCCCTTGCGCCATCAGGGAGGCCCCGAAAGGTGGCACGCCTATCTGCTGTTCAACATTGTATTGCTGGGCACAGTGCCGGTACTAAGACAAGTAAGCCATGAAATAATACATTTGAGCACTATCTTAATGTCTAACACAGGTCCAGCGCTATCACAGCTATTGAAGGGAAAGAAAAGATTTCTGTCTCCTACATGTATACTCTAATTGGGGAGGCAAAACATGGGCCCAGGAAACATGTTCCATGATTTATTGACAAACTGAGTGGCACAGGCAGAACATGTTATAGTGGTTTAGGGAAGGGGTGCCCAAGTTTTGGGGAAGGCTTCAGGGTATGACATCAGTGAAGTGTTAGATGGGCAGGCTCTGGAAGGTAGAAAGGAAAGGAAAGGTATTCCAGATTGTTAAGCGCATGCTGGGCAGCAGTGTGATGGCGGTGAGGAAAGGAAAGGTCTGGCTAGAGCAGTATAGGGCATCAAGGAAGCCAAGGTTAGTAGGGAAGACTCAAACTGGACAATCTTAAATGTCAGGTTCAAGGAATGTCAATGTATTCTGTGAGTGCAAGGGGAGTGCTGGGGAGGAGGGGGGTTTTGGCAAGGAGGGGGTCATTGGAAACAGACTCTGTATGCTATAAAGTAGTTTTACCATTGACAAGGAAGCCTGAGGGATTGGGGGAGACAGCCAATTCCCTACTGACCAGCATCATCTTTTGGGAAAGCTGCAGTCTGGGGTATTCACGGAGGCAGACAGGGCACGCTACCTCAAGGTTACTTCTTCATGTACATTTTGCAGGGCTTCCCGGATGTGCTTGGGAACCTGTCTGGCTGGAGTGACACAGGCATTGGTCTGGAGGTCTGCTGATTTCTTCAGCACCTGTCCGTAGTAGTCCTAACCCAGGACCAAAGGTGAAAAGAGGTGGGGAAAGGAATGAGTTGGAGCTGGTGTCTGCAAAGTGAAGGTCCCCTTGAGTGTCCCAACACACACCCCAACCTTCAGGCCTTGGTCTGCTATTGCTTTCTGCAAGTTCTAAGCCCAGACTACCCTGCCCCTGCCCTTGGGGGTGCTGAGAGGAAGAGGTTGGGTCAGCGTAGGCTGGACTTGCACAGGCCTAGGGCTCCCCAGCCCACCATTGCAGGCCCAGCTGCTCTCACCTGCACGAGTTTCCAGATCTCCGTTTCCTGGAGGGCGGCCACTTTAAGAAGGGTTAAAGGGTAACAAAAAAGCTTGTACTTAGTAACAAGGGCGTGTGAAAAGGGGTGTGCTGGGAAGGCCGGTGGTTAGCTCCCTCCCTCCCTCGGTAACCACCCCCCCCCCCCCCCCCGAGAGTTCTGGGGGGCTGGGGAGGCACGGAGAGGGGCTGGGGGCCTGTTTAGAGAGCCGGTAGTGAGGGTTGGGACCGGGAGAAGAGGGGCCGCATTCTTACTGTCTCCTGGGTCTCAGAACTCCCGGACTAAGGTCCCGGTAGCCAGCTAGCCGAGGTTGAGCCTGCCCGAGGCCCCGCCCAGGGCAGGAAGGCCGGATGACCACGTGGCCGGCTAGAGCCCCGGCCTAGGCAGCCTGGAAGTGCAGGAACCCAGGGCTCTCGGACCCTGCCCCTGCGAGGCCGCTGCCACCTGTGCGCGCTTCTCCCGGCCTGGCTGGCCCAAAGCCAGCCTGGCTACCTTTACTCTTTCCCACGGGGGAAAGGACATTACTGTTAATTAGTATCTTCTTTTATTGCTGCGAAATGAAACTGGTTTTCAGGCTTAGATGAACCCCCATGTATATGATAGCTTTTGCCCCTTTGGGGAACAAAGTAGCCCTTTCTCCATCCTTTCTTAAGGTCAGGTTTATTGAGATGTAATTGAGAGTCAGTAGAATTCACCTTTCTTTAGTGTTAAGTTCTCTAATTCTGAGTAAGATAGAGGTCACCACAGTGAATACTTTCGGGGTCCAAAAGCTTCCCTTGCCTCTTGGAAGGAAATCCCCTCATCCCACGCCCCCTCCTAAACACAGTTTCCCTCATTTTCCAGGTCATGGGGATGGAACCACACATACGGAACCATTCTCAGGCAATTTTGAATTGTGTGTAGGAAAGCAAGTTGCTTTTTTTATAACCAGTCTGCACATACTCATTTAAATGTCAGTATTGGGCCTCCCCGGTGGCGCAGCGGTTGAGCGCTGGGTTACGAAGCTGCGCTCAGCCTCTGCAGCGCCGGTTCGATCCCCGGCTGCTCCCCGGCCACCTGAGGAGGGTCCCACATGGCGCGCAGACCTCTCCTGCCGCCCACTGCTCCCCTCAGCAGTGTACTTCGGTCCTTCTGTCTGCTCTGCTCCCCGCTCTGGCTCTGGTGAATTCTCTCACCCTCCCACGCTTCTGACTGTACCCAGTGCATGTATAAACAAAACAAACAAAAAAATAAAATAAATAAAGCATGCCTCTAAAAAAAAAAAAAAAATAAAAAAAATAAATGTCAGTATTGTAATACTGTATCTTTTTTTTAATTTTTATTTTTTATTTATTTATAAAGCACTGGGTACAGCCAGAAGCGCGGGAGGGTGAGAGAGTGAGAGAATTCACCAGAGCCAGAGCGGGGAGCAGAGCAGGAAGAAGGACCGAGCTGAGGGGAGCAACGGGAGGCAGGAGAGGTCTGCGCACCATACGGGACCGCCTCCAGTGGCCGGGAGCAGCCGGGGATCGAACTGGTGCCGCAGAAGCCGTGGGCAGCTTCGCAACCCAGCGCTCAACCGCTGCTCCACCGGGGAGGCCCAATACAGTTAGAATTTACTACACAGTGAATATACTGGCATACATTAGGGTAAACTGAGATAAAAAAAATTATTATCGGGCCTACCCAGTGGCGCAGCGGTTGAGCGCTGGATTGCGAAGCTGCCCGCGGCCTCTGCAGCGCTGGTTCGATCCCCGGCTGCTCCCCGGCCACTAGAGGAGGGTCCCACATGGCGCGCAGACCTCTTCTGCCGCCAGCTGCTCCCCTCAGCAGTGTACTTTGGTCCTTCTGCCTACTCCGCTCCCCGCTCTGGCTCTGGTGAATTCTCTCACCTTCCCGTGCTTCTGACTGTACCCAGTGGTTGTATAAATAATTAAACAAACAAACAAATAAATAAATAAATCTTTAAAAAAAATTATTATCATTTGTTTTCATTTAATTACAATTTTAAAAGTTGGTTTAAAAGACCAGTTACTTCAAGAACACTCATACCCACTATGATTTGGCAATCTCTTGGCATGATTAGCATGATTTTAGTAGGAGCCTGATTTAATGAGAATACGTAGTAAAAGTCCAAAAGGTGCTGCCAGGTCAGAATTTTTCTTGAAACTCTCTACCAACTGCTATTTCTGAAGCCTTTCTTGAAGGTCACTGTCAGCCAAAGCAGTAACACTGCTTCTCATTTCCATGTCTGACCACTAGGTGGCGGCAGAACTTTGACGTAAGCAAGAAACAGAAAAATTGCTCAAGAGGTCTTTAAGTGATTTGCATGAATCTTCATTAATACCTTCTAAATATAAATCACTGATTTTTATCAGTGACCTAGAACACCATGGCTTTCTGCCTTTTATTCTTTCGTATGGTCTGTACTAGGTGAAAAGCAGGTTAAGAGACATGTGCAACACATTCCTTAGTCTCCCGCCTGCTATCTATTGATCTGCTGCAGTTTTAACAGCACTTCTTTGTGCCACAGCTGCTGCTAGCAACATCAGGGGGACATCTGGACTTCATGTTGTCAGATTCCTCTGCAAGCTTGAATGGATCCATGATTATATCCTGTCAAAAAGCAAAACAAATGGGAGCACAAGTTAAAGCTTTTGATGTACCTGAACACATATATCAGCTTGCTTTACATTGATTTACCTAGAAGTGAGATACAATTTTAAAATTCTGTAAGCTCCGGGGAATAGTAGCAGTCGTTCAGTTACATAAAGCTGGGCACATTTTCCTGAAATTTTAAATCAATTACTACTTTCAAAATAAACTTCATTTAAAACTTTTAAAAGGTGGTGCTTCTTGGGCCAAGAGAATTGATTTCACTTTGTTTTCTCTTATGGGATTCCCATTTGCATATGCCTTTTACCCTTTTGGAATTGAGACCCTGAAATGCTTAGACTGCTTTCTCTCTCTGACTCCAGTCTCCAGAAATATGTGAGCAAGACAAGACGGTAAATCCTAGGCATTAGAGACACCAATAGCAACTGCTGATGTTCAGATGATGAGATTGTCAACAATGGCCAGAAAGACTGTAGGGCAGTGTAAGTAGAATTTTCAAAAGACAAGATGCAGTCTTTAATTTTTGTTCTTTCACCTCCAAGTGAAATGTCTCCAACAGCAGTGCCAATGGGGCCAGATAGAAACTAGGCACAAAGGTAGGACATTGAGAGCATGAACAAGCTACCTTACATAGTTGATAATGAATTTATTGAGCATAAATTTATAGTTTTACTATTTTCTGTTGGCCACTGCAACTAGAAGGGTGTAGGAGACACGCACTGACTCTGCCGTTCATGAAATTACAGACTTAATGGCCACTTCCTTTACTCGTGGCCTTGATCTTACTGGCTCACACTCTCCACCATTCCAAAATGCAGAAGTCATGTAGACTCCCTAACAGGCAAGCATCCAGGAGGGCATGTCCAAGTCTGGAAGAAGGCTAGTTATGCTGGGCTCTACCACCAGGCATTCATAGCCATTGCATTTCCTCCTCTGTGTACATTGGAAGGCCGGGTCAAAAGAGTTAGTCTCTCCTCTTTTTCACCCAGGAAACTTGTTCTTCCCATTTCATGTCCTGACATCAATACCACTTCCAAATGCATGCTGCCAGCCCTAACATCTCAAAACTTGAATAAAAGGTGAACATACCATCCTTTCCAGCACCAGTGTCCTATGAGTCTGTGAAAAGTATAGAGTGGCACAGCCTACTGGTTAATAATGTCACCTCTAGAATCAGATCTGAGTTCAAATTCACCACTTTCTAGCTGTGTGACCTGGATTGGTAAATTTATCTTTCTGAGCCTTAGTTTTTTCATCTGTAAAGTGAGGATAATCAGGGTTATTGTAAGGACCACACGGTGGGATGCCTTGTACGATAAAGATTAGATCCTCTGCATTACTATTGTGCATGTTATCAGTCCCACTACTATTAATTGGACACAGCACAAATCTCATCTGCACCATTTCAGATGCTGCAATTCTAATCATGTATCTTTAATATCAAAACACATTTTGTTGTTCAGGATTAGAGAGGGAGGAGGAGGAGAAAAAAGAAAAAGGCAACTCTCAGAAATTCAACAACAGGGCCTCCCCTGGTGGCGCAGGTGGTTAAGCACCGCGCTGTGAAGCTGTCCGCAGCCTCTGCAGCACCAGTTCGATCCCGGCCGGCCGGCGAGGGTTCCACATGGTGCGGCAGACCTCTCCTGTCCCTCTCGCTGCTCCCCTCAGCAGTGTATTTCATCAGTCTGCCTGTTCTGTTCCCCGCTGACTCTGGTGAATCTGCTCACCCTCCCACGCATCTGGCCTGTACCCCGGTTCTTGTATAAATAAATAAATTAATTTAAAAAAAAAGAAATTCAACAACAGTGATTACTAAGTCAATCCTCAGTAAAAGTTACAGTTTTTCTTCCTCTGTTGCAACAGTGGATGGGAAGACGTAAGAGCAATTCCTTGCACGCCACCTGCCTGCACTTTACTCTAGGGTTTATCATAAAAGGTCTACCATGAAAAAGATAAGAAAGTCCTCCAAAAGCACAAGGTTATATTTCTAGGACACACAGCTGTTTCATTCTTTACTCTTCCTTCAGTGTCAATTACTCCCATTTCAAAAACTTGGAACCTATCTAAAGATTTGGCGTATCTGTAGACAGAAAGAAATATGGCAGAGAAGACAGGAGACTGCTGGGATAAACCAGCAGAATGTTAACATTCATATATCTGACTTCAAGAACCCGCCTGCACTTGACCCCCAATGCTCACAGGAAGAACAGGGGAGCTATGCTGGAAGAAATGGCCTTCTGCAGCAGTGAACATATTTATTTTTATAGCCAGAGACACTATGGCCAGAGGAGAGATTTCTGTCCTTGTGGCTGTTCTCTTCTGAGAATGCTGGAGCCAGTACTCAGGAAACCAGTTACAGAATTGCAGTAATGAAAAATTCCAAAATAAACACTGATTCTGACCAGCAAGATTTTATCAATGAACTCTCAAGGTTTCAAAATACCAACAACACATATATGAAATGTTCAATGGGCTAAAAAGTCAGAAGTCAAATTTCTACTTTCCAAAAAATCGCCTTTTCAGAAAAACAGAAGAGTAATGATAGTAAAGTGCTGAAGAATTTGCTCTAAAGGAGGTTCCTGTACTTAGCTTGGGCTTGACTTATGCAGTAGGTGGCGCAAGGGGTTAAGCACCGCACTATGAAGCAATCTGCAGCCTCTGCAGTACGAGTTCGATCCCTGGCTGGCCAGAGAGAAACCCATGGCACAGCAGACCTCTCCTGACTTGCCCGCCGCTCCCCTCACCAGTGTATTTCAGTCAGTCTTCCAGTTCTGTTCCCCACTCTGTCTCTGGTGAATCCTCTCACCACCCACCCCCCAACCCGGCCACATCTCTGGCCTGTACCCCAGCTCTTGTACAACAACAAAGCCATGAAATTACTAGAAGAATTTTATAACCTTGGATTAAGCAATCAATTCTTAGTTCTGGCCCCAAAAGTACAAGCAATCAAAGAAAAATTAGGTAAGTTGGATTTCATCATCATGGCTTCTTGGCCTTTTGACTAAGATCAAATGAAGTTAAAAACGTTTTTCATTAGTTAAAAACTTTTGTGCATGAAAGGACACTATCGAAAGAGCAAAAAGACAAAGCCTAGAATGGATGAAATGTTTGCAAATCATATATCTGGTAAGGGTTTAGTATCCAGAACACATAAGGAACACTTACAACTGTATAACAAAAGGATAAACCAATCAAAAAATCAAAAGGACTTGAATAAACATTTCTCTAAAGAAAATATTCTAATGGTCAATAAGTGTATGAAAAGAAGCTCAATTTTACATTAGTTATTAGGGAAATCAAAATCAAAATCATGATGACATACCAATTCACACAGAACTAGGATAGCTACAATCAAAACAAAGCAGAAACTAACAAGTGTGGCAAAGATATAAAGAAATTAGAATCCTTGTACATTGCTGGCAGCTATGTGAATGGTACAGCTGCAGTGGAAACACTTTGGTGATTCCTCAAAAGGTTAAAGGTAGAATTACTATATGACTCAACAATTCCTCTCCAAGGTATGGGCCCCAAAGAAGTAAAAACAAGTACACAAATGACACACAAGTAAAAACAAGTACACAAATGGTACACAAAGCACATGTAAATGTATGTCACAGCAATCCTATTCATAATGACCAAAAAGAGGAAACCACCCAAATGACCATCAACTGATGGGTGGGTAAACAAAAGGTGGTATATCCATACAATGGAATATTATTTGGCTACAAAAAGAAATAAAGTACTGACACATGGAAAAATCCTGAAAACATGTTAAGAAGAAAGAAGCTAGACACACAGGGCCAAGTAATTATTCCTCTTACATGAAATGCCCCGAATTGACAAATCCAGAGGCAGAAAGCAGATTAATTGTCGTTAGGACTTGGGGTAGGGGGAAATTGTGGAAAGACTGCTTAATGGGTACTGGATTTCTTTTTGGGGTAATGAAAGTTTCCTTGAACTGATAGTGGTGATGGTTGCACAACTTTGTAAAAGTACCCAAAGCCACTAATTTGTACACTTTAAAAAGGTTAAAATAATGAATTTTGTGTCACATGAGATTTACCTCAAAATTTTAAAGTACTAAAAGGAAATATAATTAAATTTATGATATTCACATAAAGCAGGTCTTTCTAATCATAATATTAAAGGCAGAAACCATAACGGAAATGACTACATAAAAACTGAAAATATCTACTTAAGGGGAAAAGAGCACAAATAAAAAGATAAATGACATGCTGAGAAAAGTACTTACAACATATAGTAGACAATCTTATACAGAACAATTTAAAAACAGCCAAATACCCCTCTAATAGAAAATGGTGAAAGGAATCATACAAAGAGGTTCACAACAATGGATATAAATGGTCAATAAATATACCAAAAAGTTCAATGTATTCAAAATTAAACAGCAAATTATTTTTCTGCCTATCAGACAAGCAAAAATTTAGAAAATTATATCAAATGTTAATAAGAGTACAAGGAAAAGATACTCTCATACACGGTAGGTAGGCATGTGGAGTGGTACAATCTTTCTGGAAGACAATCTTTAAAATATCTATGCAGAATCTGAATAATTTTTTCCATGGTAGTTCTTAACCTTTTTTTGTATCTGAACTGCTCTGAGAACCTGATGAAAGTAATAGACTCTTTCCCAAGAAAATATATACGCACACAAACACACACACACGCTCTCATTTCAAGGGGATCATGGATGTTCTGAAGTCTGTTTTTGGATGCACTAGATTAGGAATCTCTGACTTACTGTCAGGATTGAGAAGAAGAAGCTATCAAGTTAAATCAACTCACTTCATAGGTACAAATATGTTAGAAATAAAGTATGGTAGCCAAGTAAATGAATAACAGTTTTTTCCTGCTTTAGTAGTCTGTGGCAAGCATAACAATTTTGTAAGCGGACCTCTGTTTGAGGACAGGGAATGGAAAGTCAAACAAACCTTTGATTCTAAAGTAGAACAACTTCCAGATGTTGGCAACTTCTCTCCAATTGGTCTGATCAAAAAATCTTGGGCAAATCGTGAATTTTTCAAGATAGCCGCTGTTTCTTCATCCACTTCAACAATTTCACCTTCCTGAAAGATAGCAGGAAAAAGCACATGCTAGTTTCATGCTCATTTCCAGATGAAACAATCCAGGGTCATAATCACTGTTTCTATAGTGGCAAAAGATATTCCTTATTCTAGCGTCTAGTCCCTTCTCCAAACAGATGTAAAATCACTGCTCTCTGAGTTACACCTTATTCGTCACTGAAATGGGGACTTTAAATGAGTGGTTTTTGATATGTCCCAAGGTATGTATAGGGCCCACACCTTGGGAATAAGGGGTAAGCACAGGAGACTGGGCTCACCAGCCTGCTCTCATTGGATAAACTCTGCTCTTGTTCTTTTTATATTGGAATTATATAAAGCAATGCATTGTATACTAAATATTGGTGTTTTAAATACAATTTTGCTTTAAATATTCTGCTATTGAAAGTTTTTTTTTTAACCAAATGGAAGGTTTCAAAGGCCCCTCCCACCCTGACGCTGTAATTCAAGGAACAACACATCAGTGAAGAAGCATCAATGGTTCAACGGTATCAGGGGCCATTTAGGAGATTTGAAGATGCAATTTGAACCAAAAAATCAGAATAGAAACAATAAGTTCTTCCATCTTCTATTTACTATGTTCCCAGTATATACCAATGTTTTGCTAATAATATTGCTAATCATGCTAAAAATTCTGCAGAGGATATTATGATCCCTGTTTTTACACTGAAACAAACTGGATATAAAATAACTTTAGTGATTTAAGTTTACCCAAGTAATAAATAACAAAAACAGGATTCAAACCAAGATTTCTATTCTCAAAGTCTACTTTTCCATTTTGAGAAAACAAAGCCTACTCTACAAAAAAGTAGAAGAAAAATCAGTGAGTGTCATCACTAAATACAAACAATCCCTTGATTCCATGACACAATTAAACAACTGAAATACCATTATTATGGTTATATCGAAAACATTTGATTCCTAAGCTATACATGCTAAAATAGTTAAGGTAAAATATCATAATGCCTGCAACTTACTTTCAAAAAGTCAGTAAAACACACATACACACATGCCCACATGCATCAGGGAAGTGAGAAGCAATGCAAGGTTAAGAAAAGATACCTAGAACAATGGTAAGAGTAGTAAGAATGCCAGAAGTTGAGGCCTCCCCAGTGGCATAGCGGGTTGAGCGCAGTGCTGTGAAGCTGTCTGCAGCCTCTGCAGCGCAGGAACGATTCCTGGCCAGCCAGGGAGATTCCTACATGGCGTGGCAGACCTTTCCTGTGGCGCCCGCTGCTCCCCTCAGCAATGCTTTCGGTCTGTCTGCCCGTCCTGCTCCCCACTCTTTCTCTGGTGAATACTCTTACCCTCCCGCGCCTCTGGCCTGTACCCCAGCTATTGAATAAATAAAAAATAAATCTTTTTAAAAAATCTAATATCTAAAAAAAAAAAAGAAAAAGAATGCCAGAAGTCATGGAATGTTTTATTTACCTTAAATGTGAAATTTGCATCAAATATTAGTTCTTTCTCATGTCCTGTGAGTCCTCCATTGTAAATAACTTGGCATCTTTTGGCTGGTCCTGTCTTAGGGAGTTTGAAGAGACGAAATGTTGCAGAAACAAAACGACAGTCACCTAAAAAGACAATTAGTTCACAGTTCATCTCTACCACTCCAATAGCCACTGGTCTACTCAGCAGATGAAGAGGGTACATATTTAAAAGATGATTTTCATCTTTGCATGCCAACAAATGTCTTTTGGAGCACTTCACTCTATTGAAAGAATGTCTGTAAAGTACTTTATTAAATTCCAACTGTGAGCAGTTTGTCTTGAACAGGAGACAAGCTAGAGATTTCTAGATGACACAAGGTCTCTCTTGAAGAGAGTCACTGAGTAGATACTCGTTAATCAAATCTTAACCATTCGGGGTGCAGTTATAATAGCCCCCGCTGTTGTTTCTTACCAGTCACACTCTCTAGTTCCTTGTTTTGAATTGTAATGAGATGGGCAGTGACCAAGCGTGGAGAGCAGAAGCCAATTTTTTGGGCAAGGGCGGCAAGATCCTTCCAGTATAAAGCACCTCCGAGGCACTCGCCTAAAAGAAAACACAGACTGATGAGTACAACTAGGTGTAATGGTGTTAATCCTCTATACAATTGCTTAGGATAGTTTAAAAAAGATCCTAGAAATAGAAAAAGGACCTGCCTGCCCCCCTTCCAAGGTCTAGAAAGTCCGTTAAAACAGGGCATGCTGGGCCTCCCTGGTGGCGCAAGGGATTAAGACACAATCTATGAAGCTATCCGCAGCCACTGCAGCACAAGTTCAATCCCTGGCCAGGTTGGCGACCCACATGGCACAGCAAACCTCTCCTGACTCACCCACTGCTCCCCTCAGCAGTGTATTTCAGTCGATCCACCCTTTCTGCTCCCCACTCTTTCTCTGGTGAATCCTCTCACCCCCACGCATCTCTGGCATATACCCCAACTCTTTTATGCATAAACAGATCTTTAAAATAATATATTTTAAAAAGTTTTAGTCTTAGGAGATATGCTTAAAAAATGGAACACTAATTTCTAGATAGAAGCGTGCTCCCAATTTTATTATATACACAGAGGGGAAAAAAAACAACTAAAGGGACTAAAATGTTAAAGAAGTTATTGCTAAGTTGTGTGATTCATAGTGGTTTTTTCCTTTTTCTATTTTCTAACTTTTAAACAATATCCATCTAGTATTGTATAATAAGAAAAACTAAAGTTTATTTTATTTTATTTTTTTATAGATTTATTTATTTATGCATACAAGAGCTGGGGTACAGGCCAGAGATGTGGGGGTGAGAGAACCCACCAGAGACAGAGTGGGGAGCAGAACAGGGGCAAACTGACTGAAATACTCTGCTGAGGGGAGCAGTGGGCGAGTCAGGAGAGGTCTGCTGCGCCATGTGGGTTTCTCCCTGGCCGGCCAGGGATCGAACTTGTGCGGCAGAGGCTATGGATTGCTTCATAGTGTGGTGCTTAACCCCTGGCGCCACCAGGGAGGCCCCAATAAAGTTTATTTTAAAAGAACTTTTTATTTTAGGGCCTCCCCTGGTGGCGCAGGTGGTTGAGCGCCACACTGTGAAGCTGTCTGTGGCCTCTGCATCACTGGTTCAATCCCGGCTGGACACGAGGGTCCCACATGTCAGGGCAGACCTCTCCTGTCTCGCCTGCTGCTCCCCTCAGCAGTGTATTTCGTCAGTCTGCCTGTTCTGTTCCCCACTCTGTCTCTGGTGAATTCTCTCACCCTCCCACACATCTGGCCTATACCCTGGTTCTTGTATAAATAAATAAATAAATCTTTTTTTTAAAAAACAAGAACTTCTTATTTTATAATCAGACTGACCACATATATGCATTTTGAGCTTCCATGTCCAGAGATTCCATTAAAATTACAATAAATAGGGCCTCTTCTGGTGGCGCAACAGTTGAGTGCTGGGCTGCAAAGCTGCCCGCAGCCTCTGCAGCACCGGTTCGATCCCCGGCTACTGGCGAGGGTCCCACATGGCACACAGACCTCTCCTGCTGCGCCCGTTGCTCCCCTCAGCAGTGTATTTCATCAGTCTGCCTGTTCTGTTCCCAGCTCTGGCTCTGGTGAATTCTCTCACCCTCCGTACTTCTGACTGTATCCAGTGCTTGTATAAATAAATAAATCTTTTTTTAAAATTACAATAAATAAAAATTAAATGGCCATAAAGGAATAAAAGATATAATAATGATAAGATCATAAGGGATTTAGGGACATCAGCTGTGGAACAGTTGCCCTCATCTATATACTATAGCCTTCGAAGTATTTTTCACATTTATTTTTCACATTAATCTTATCACAGCCCTATAAGGCAGATTGTTTTCTACATTTTACAGTTGGGAAAACAATGACTCAACCAAATTAATGAAATTGGCCAAGATCATGCCACTTTGGAATGGCAAGGAAGGAATGCTGGAAACTGAGTCTTCCAACCTAATTCCATGTATTCCCACATCATGAAGTCTCATCCTGAATATCAGCATAATGGAGCTGTGACTTGCACAATATTTGCCTTACAATAAAACCAAACAAATAAATACCTACCCCATAAAACTTTGTGTTTCCTGATTTCTTCTGGCAATTCAAGGCTAGCATAGACGTCACTGAAGTATAGCTCCCCACCGTGCTGAGAGGGCAGAATTTTAGTACAAAGGTTATGTTAGTCTCAGATAGCAAAGACAGAATTTCAGAGACAAAATAAATTTTAAAAACCAACAGAAGTTGGGCCTCCCTGGTGGCGCAGCGTTTGAGCGCTGGGTTGCGAAACTGCCCGCGGCCTCTGCGGCGCAGGTTCGATCCCCGGCTGCTCCCCGGCCACCAGAGGAGGGTCCCACATGGCGCGCAGACCTCTCCTGCCGCCCGCTGCTCCCCTCAGCAGTGTACTTCGGTCCTTTTGCCTGCTCTGCTCCCCGCTCTGGCTCTGGTGAATTCTCTCACCCTCCTGTGCTTCTGACTGTACCCAGTGCATTTATAAACAAAACAAACAAACAAACAAATAAATAAATAAATAAATAAAAACATGCCTCTATTAAAAAAAAATTAAAAAAAAAAAAAACCAACAGATGTGCTTGAACTGACCTTTGTGAACAATTAACAGTTACAGCCAATGGCCAAGTGCCAAGATTCTTTTTTCAGATACTAATAGGTAATAAAATAGGTTTTCAGGACTGTCCCAAACATGTTAGCACCACACCTGCCCTGGCAGAGCCCCCACCAGCAGTCCCCAGTGACCTTGCACTGCATTAAATCCAATTTCATTTCAGTATAGGATAGCTGAACATGGTGAGCTCAAAGCCTTCTCAATAGAGATTTCTTGGAAAGAAACATTCCCAAACACCTCCAATTACACCTAACTATAAGGCAGAGCATTTTTTTTAATATTTTTTAAAATTTTATTTATTTATGCATACGAGAACTGGGGTACAGGCCAGAGATGCGGGGTGGTGAGAGGATTCACCAGAGACAGAGTGGGGAACAGAACAGGCAGACTGATGAAATACACTGCTGAGGGGAGCAGCGAGTGAGACAGGAGAGGTCTGCTTCACCATGTGGGTTGCTCCCTGGCCGGCCAGGGATCGAACTTGTGCTGCAGAGGCTGTGGATTGCTTCATAGTGCAGTGCTTAACCCGTTGTACCACCAGGGAGGCCCAAAGCAGAGCATATTAACCAAGTTATAAACTGTGGAAGTTAATCTTGGGATTGCTATGAATATTGTTGTTTGAATATTGCCAAAGATAATAAAAAAAATCACCATCCCATTAATTCTACAACATCCAAAAGCAACATCACTTTGGTTGAAATTCCTAATACAAACCTATCAAATATGGAAAAAGACAACAACAAAAAAGAACAGTTTCTGAAAGCCCAGAAACATAAGCTGGTGGATAAAATGGGTCACAAAGCAGAACTTCTAAGAGGATGGAACTGGTTGATGTGACACATTTAAGCAAAACTGGCTCTAAACATAATGAATAGCACTTGGAATTTCAGACAAGGAAAAAATTTCCTTTAAATAGTAAACTGGTTTCAAAATCTTTCATTACTTCTCTGGTTCTGAGGTGACTTTTATAAAACAATTTTTGGTTGTTTCTTACATAAAAAATACTGTAAGCAGAAAACTCATAATGACATCTGGTTGTGTTAAATTATTTTTCACAAACTTGCCTTAAAAGGTGAAAATGTTACAGTTTCAAGTACTTTTTGTAGCCTATCAGGCCTTTGTAAATGGCAAATACGGAGAATAAGAAATAATCTGTTAATAGATATACTTGTGTTTTAGGTATATGTTTATGTTACATATGTGTTATACATATATTTATGTTGTGTGTGTGTGTGTGTGTGTATGTCTCTCTCCTAAATAAAGATACTCAGTTTACCTAAAATTTTATCTGGTCTGGAGGCCTCCCTGGTGGCGCAAGGGGTTAAATCTCATCACAATCAAGCACTATGTGCAGCCACTGCAACACAAGTTGGATCCCCGGACAGGGAACTGACCCACATGGTGCAGCAGACCTCTCCTGCCTCGCCCGCTGCTCCCTTCAGCAGTGTATTACAGTAGATCTGCCTGTTCTGCTCCCCACTCTGTCTCTGGTGAACCCTTCTACCCTCATACTCTGGCCTATACCCCAGTTCTTGTATGCATAAATAAAAATAAATCTTTAAAAAAATTTTAGGCAGTCTGAACCACGTGCAGCCCCAGGCTTTTCTGTAACTAATGGAAGAAAATAAACAGTACTCATAAACTTCTCCCTCTTAAAAATTATATAAATTTTGTAATATTATATCTTTATGCATAACATTTTAAAAATATTGTCCTTAAAATCTCAGGAATATTAGTGATAAGGAGTTTCAAGATTTTAATTTTTTCAGATATTTATTTTATTTATTTGTACATACAAGAACGGGGGTATAGTTCAGAGGTACAAGGATTCACCAGAGACAGAATGCGGAGCAAAATAGCCAGACCTACTGAAATACACTGCTGAGGGGAGCAGCGGGCCAGGCAGGAGACAGGAGAGGTTGCTGCACCATGTGGTAGCTCCCTGGCCTGGGATCAAACTCATGCCCCAGCAGTGGCTGGCAATAGCTTGATAGCACTGAGACTTAGCCCCTGCACCACCAGGAAGGCCCAAGACAAATATTTTAATATGTTCAGTGACAATCATGACTCAGATTTATTATCTTTTACAGCCTGAGAGAATGGTCCCCTACCATTCCCGTTTCTCGATACTCCTTTTTAATTTGGTGAAACATGAAAGAGGTTTGAGTACTCAGCTTAATAGGGCAAGAACAAGGAACTCCCCTGGTGGGACAGGCGGTTAAGCGCTGCGCTATGAAGCTGCCCGCAGCCTCTGCAGCACCGGTTCGATCCCAGCTGGCCGGCGAGGGTCCCACATAGCGCAGCAGACCTCTCCTGTCTCACCTGCTGCTCCCCTCAGCAGTGTATTTCGTCAGTCTGCCTGTTCTGTTCCCGCTCTGTCTTGGTGAATCCTCTCACCCTCCCGTACATCTAGCCTGTACCCTGGTTCTTGTATAAATAAATAAATTAATTTAAAAAAAAAGAGGGCAAAAACATGATAGATGGGTCTGCCCTCACTAGTGTTTACACATCACTTGTCTCCCTCACCTCCTTACCTTTAGCACTCGATATACCTCCTGTAGCACTTTTTGTTTATCAGGCACAAGGTTAATGACACAATTTGATCTTAAAAAGAATAGAGACAATGTCAATCAAATCTGTACACTACTCAGAGATCTTCAAATCCTTTCATTCTTAAAGATAGTTCCCACCATTTTCTCAAGGCACCATTCTTCCTGCCTCTCTTCTTGCTTCTCCACACTCAACTTTTGCCCAAGACAAGGAAGGTGGACATTGTTTAACATCTCAATAAACTGTGAGTGAGTTTAACATCTCAATAAACTGTGAGTGAGTTTGAGTATGCAGAAAAAAACACCAGGCATAATTCTTATTTGTTTCTGCCCTGATGTTCACCATGCAACAAAATGAAATCTAGGAACAGATGCATGTCTTATGCCACATGTAAACAGGCTAAATTCCTCAAAGGCAGCTTTATGAAAGCTGTCACTCGGATATGAGTTCACAGCTTGGGGGAAAGAGAGAAACATAGAATCCTATAAATTGGCCATGAAAATAATACTTAGGATCACAGATCAGTGGAGATTGTATGAGCAGACTCAGTGCAGTGAGCTTGCTGGTTTTTGGAGCTCATCAGTTCATGATTAAGTTTAAAATAAGTTCCTTAGGCAAGAGTGTTCTGCAATCAGTGGGCTACAAGCAGCTCAGACCACCTTCCTTCCTTTATGAAGTCATGTTAACACCCTAAAGAAGGATCAATCCAGCAAAAAGGGGTGACATTTCAGTGTCCAACAATAAGCAGATTATATTCATATAAGGATATACCTACATAACAATATCATAACTCTCATTCTTGATTCCAGCCTCTTTCAACTTCTCTATGTAGCCATGAACAAAAGTCACATTGGGTGTCTGGAAGCCATATCTTTCCATGTGATATGCAATGTACTTTTTAGCCACGTCTACCTAAAAGAAGAAAAAATACAGATTTGATAATGAGCATTTAAAAATACTACTTCAGTCTTAAAATTTTTCCTATTACTAATGGAATATACTTCCCCCAGATCATTTTGGATAAGCAAGTATACAAATTCCTCTGGGCAAGCTGGAAATATGACAGCCCCTGACAACTCAATAGGGAATTAATTCCCTGCCTGATACATGGATTTTGTTTGAAGAGACTCTTCACTCAATAAATTATCTTTCAGGATAGATGGCAAAAAGGAAGAGATCAGACTCCTTTGGGTCACCATGATATTCATTTATCAGATCAAACTTCTGACTGTATTCTCCTAGAAAAGCCCTAATTGTCAAACTTGCAGCTCCAGGGCACAAACAGCAGCCTTCTGAAATTATCCTTGGAATTGGAAGGAAACAACTTCATCTCCAAAAGAATGCTTTTGAGGATTTTTTTCCTTGTCTTCCAAATCATTCTCACCTGACCTTCTGTCATGTCTATTCCAGTGACATGTCCCTTCTCACCAACCAGTTGACTCAGTGCATAGCAATCTCTGCCACTCCCACTACCCAGGTCCAAAATCCAGCAGTTTTCCAGACACTCCGGGACCACTATACCACAGCCGTAATACCTGGGAAATGAGAGAGAGAGACAGAGAGAGACACACACAGAGAGAGAATTATAGAGATGTGTATATATGTGTGTGTGTATATATATATATATATATATATATATATACAAATTGTTCCCATTAAGATTCTAGAAATAAATCTTATAAATTCTTCCTCACTCCTTTTTCCTCTTATATTATTCATTTAATTTCTATTTAGGCATTTAGTCTTCCTCACTAAGCTGGAAGCTCCATGAAAGGTGGGACTCCTTTTTTTTTTTTTTTTTTTTTTTTTTTCCAAATTTTTTAAGGTTTATTTTTATTTACTTATATATATAAGAACTGGGGTGTAAGCCACAGGTGTGAGGGGTTAGAGGATTCACCAGAGATAGAGTGGGGAGCAGAACAGGCAGATCTACTGAAATACACTGCTGAGGGGAACAGTGGGCGAGACAGAAGAGGTCAGCTGCACCATGTGGGTCATCTCCTCGGCCAAGGATCGAACCGCTGCAGTGACTGCCAATAGCTTCATAGTGCTGCATCTTAACCCCTTGCGCCACCAGGGAGGCCCCGAAAGGTGGCACGCCTATCTGCTGTTTACCATTGTATTGCTGGGCACAGTGCCGGTACTAAGACAAGTAAGCCATGAAATAATACATTTGAGCACTATCTTAATGTCTAACACAGGTCCAGCGCTATCACAGCTATTGAAGGGAAAGAAAAGATTTCTGTCTCCTACATGTATACTCTAATTGGGGAGGTAAAACACGGGCCCAGGAAACATTTTCCATGATTTATTGACAAACTGAGTGGCACAGGCAGAACATGTTATAGTGGTTTAGGGAAGGGGGTGCCCAAGTTTTGGGGAAGGCTTCAGGGTGTGACATCAGTGAAGTGTTAGATGGGCAGGCTCTGGAAGGTAGAAAGGAAAGGAAAGGTATTCCAGATTGTTAAGCGCATGCTGGGCAGCAGTGTGATGGCGGTGAGGAAAGGAAAGGTCTGGCTAGAGCAGTATAGGGCATCAAGGAAGCCAAGGTTAGTAGGGAAGACTCAAACTGGACAATCTTAAATGTCAGGTTCAAGGAATGTCAATGTATTCTGTGAGTGCAAGGGGAGTGCTGGGGAGGAGGGGGTTTTGGCAAGGAGGGGGTCATTGGAAACAGACTCTGTATGCTATAAAGTAGTTTTACCATTGACAAGGAAGCCTGAGGGATTGGGGGAGACAGCCAATTCCCTACTGACCAGCATCATCTTTTGGGAAAGATGCAGTCTGGGGTATTCACGGAGGCAGACAGGGCACGCTACCTCAAGGTTACTTCTTCATGTACATTTTGCAGGGCTTCCCGGATGTGCTTGGGAACCTGTCTGGCTGGAGTGACACAGGCATTGGTCTGGAGGTCTGCTGATTTCTTCAGCACCTGTCCGTAGTAGTCCTAACCCAGGACCAAAGGTGAAAAGAGGTGGGGAAAGGAATGAGTTGGAGCTGGTGTCTGCAAAGTGAAAGTCCCCTTGAATGTCCCAACACACACCCCAACCTTCAGGCCTTGGTCTGCTATTGCTTTCTGCAAGTTCTAAGCCCAGACTACCCTGCCCCTGCCCTTGGGGGTGCTGAGAGGAAGAGGTTGGGTCAGCGTAGGCTGGACTTGCACAGGCCTAGGGCTCCCCAGCCCACCATTGCAGGCCCAGCTGCTCTCACCTGCACGTCTTTCCAGATCTCCGTTTCCTGGGGGGCGGCCACTTTAAGAAGGGTTAACGGGTAACAAAAAAGCTTGTACTTAGTAACAAGGGCACGTGAAAAGGGGTGTGCTGGGAAGGCCGGTGGTTAGCTCCCCCCTCCCTTGGTAACCACCCCCTCCCCCCCCCAGAGTTCTGGGGGGCTGGGGAGGCACGGAGAGGGGCTGGGGGCCTGTTTAGAGAGCCGGTAGTGAGGGTTGGGACCGGGAGAAGAGGGGCCGCATTCTTACTGTCTCCTGGGTCTCAGAACTCCCGGACTAAGGTCCCGGTAGCCAGCTAGCCGAGGTTGAGCCTGCCCGAGGCCCCGCCCAGGGCAGGAAGGCCGCATGACCACGTGACCGGCTAGAGGCCCGGCCTAGGCAGCCTGGAAGTGCAGGAACCCAGGGCTCTCGGACCCTGCCCCTGCGAGGCCGCTGCCACCTGTGCGCGCTTCTCCCGGCCTTGCTGGCCCAAAGCCAGCCTGGCTACCTTTACTCTTTCCCACGGGGGAAAGGACATTACTGTTAATTAGTATCTTCTTTTATTGCTGCGAAATGAAACTGGTTTTCAGGCTTAGATGAACCCCCATGTATATGATAGCTTTTGCCCCTTTGGGGAACAAAGTAGCCCTTTCTCCATCCTTTCTTAAGGTCAGGTTTATTGAGATGTAATTGAGAGTCAGTAGAATTCACCTTTCTTTAGTGTTAAGTTCTCTAATTCTGAGTAAGATAGACGTCACCACAGTGAATACTTTCGCGGTCCAAAAGCTTCCCTTGCCTCTTGGAAGGAAATCCCCTCATCCCACGCCCCCTCCTAAACACAGTTTCCCTCATTTTCCAGGTCATGGGGATGGAACCACACATACGGAACCATTCTCAGGCAATTTTGAATTGCGTGTAGGAAAGCAAGTTGCTTTTTTATAACCAGTCTGAACATACTCATTTAAATATCAGTTTTGTAATACTGTATCTTTTTATTTTATTTTTTATTTATTTATACAAGCACTGGGTACAGTCAGAAGCGCGGGAGGGTGAGAGAATTCACCAGAGCCAGAGCGGGGAGCAGAGCAGGCAGAAGGACCGAAGTACACTGCTGAGGGGAGCAGCGGGCGGCAGGAGAGGTCTGCGCGCCATGTGGGACCCTCCTCCAGTGGCTGGGGAGCAGCCGGGAACGAACCGTCGCCGCATAGGCCGTGGGCAGCTTTGCAACCCAGCGCTCAATCGCTGTGCCACCAGGGAGGCCCTATGTCATATATTTATATATTTTTCTAGTTCTTGTCATTTATGCTTGGTTTTCTTCCATTTTTATTTCTTCTGTTTTCTCTCTAAATTCTAACCACAACCCCTTAAAATTTTTTATTGCTAACAGAGATATAAAGAATGATTTTTTCTTTATAGCACAGCTTTGATAACACAAATTTCCTTGCACGTAATAAACTGTAACTATTTTAATAATATTATCCTCCAACGGTATAGTCTACAATCCAAATGGTATTTTAAAAAGCCATTTTTGTTTTTGTGCTTAATAGTTTAATTTTAGATAGCCTGTTTATTTCTACCAAAAACTAACTATCAATTATGTATACATTTTTGCTTGTTCCCACAATTCTGGCTACTTTTTTTGTGTATTTTGGCATGTTCTTAAAAATGACTGAATTCAATAATACTAGTTTTCATTATCTAATGTAAATTTTATTTACCATTAAAATTTTAATTGTAAAAGATATTTTATCAGTTACAATCAAGTATAAGCAGTCACTGCTTCTTTAATTTGTTTCAACATGATGAAGAAAGCACACTTACCTTTATTTCTTTGCTTCTGATATACTTAAATAGAATGACTTTTGCATTCTAAATTGGTGACCTTTTTATTTTTGGGGGGGAACAAATTTTGTCTCTTCATTGCTAATTATACATAATTTGTGCACCAGGTATGGTCAACAGCAAAAATGTGGAACAGACACCATGATCCTTAGGTAATGTTTCAAATGATTTACTCAATATAATATTTGCTGTCATCTGCAACCCTTCTGTTTAAAGGTAAGTTGAGCCCATTTACATTTAATAATTAAAATAATGTTTACAGAGTAAGTAAACATGTCTAGTTTTCTTCTTTACCTTAAGTTAATGTGCATTATGCATAATGAAGGATAAATGCAATGTGATATGATTGGTCAATTTGATTATATACAATATAAATCAAGTACTTATGAAAATACCACTTTCTTATATCCATTTTCTCTCAACTTCTTAGTAAATTAAGAATTAAACCAGAACAGGATTGAATCCCATTTTAAATTAAAACAAAGTAAAGACTTTTAGACCCGACCACAGACAATGTTAATGCCATTTAACAAGATGAACTCGATGAACATTGGTAAATGTCTGCAAACGTAACGTTTTCATAACCCTACATTGCAATCACTTAGTAATTCCAACTGCCTTGGCATTTGACAATAATGTCATACAAGTGAATTTGCTGGCAACTAGCAAAATTACAAAATAAACCCAAGGCCACTTAATCAAGACTCACAATAACAAACAAGGAATGCAGGTCAAGGTAGGAGACTGCACTGCACATATGATACCATCTGCTTCGTTTGCCCTTAGAAATTCACCACAAGATATAAAATAAGTATCCCTTCCTCTGAGTTTTCAGAAAAGAAAACATTTTGTGGCCATGAAATTAAAGTACTTCCTGAATATATGATCAAAGGAAAAAAGTCTTTAAAATGAATATTAATCATTCTTATGTGTTCACAAAAAAAAGTTCTATTTCTGAATTTAAAATGTCAGTATTTACTTAAGGATAACATTTAGACAGTATGGCTTTTGACTTTTTTTTTTTATATTTAAAGAGCAGGTTTATTAGAAAAGGGATAGGATAGTAAAAGACACTTGCACAGACACAAGCGGGCAGGAAGAGCTGCCCCGAAGGGACAGGTTTGCTAAGAGAGTTCTGCATGGTTGCAGGCGGGTGGCCTTGAGGAGAGCAGCCTCCACTGAAGGAGGTCAGTGAAGAGAAGTCCCTGCATGGTATAGGTCATGGGCAGCCAGAAAGTTGCTGCCCTGCAGAGGGAGAGTTGGTGAAAAGAAGCACCTGCATAGTTACAGGTGGGCAGATGGAGTGCTGCCACTTTTGACATATTAAAGTTCTATTGGAAAAACAAAGACATTTTTAAATTTGCTTTAATATCAAACCAAAAGACAACTTAAAAATTCAATAAAAGCATGGGTTAGTCCAATTCAAAAAGTGGTTCCCAAATTCAACCACCTGACTTCTTTTCAGGAAAAACTACATCACCACAAATTTTTTCTAACTTAACCTTTGCAGAAGAAGATGGGACTCAAACCCATAGTGCCACAGTTTTGTAAGGTATTTCCTCCTCAGAACTAGGAAAAGAAGTGCTTTTGCCTCCAATAAGCCATTCTATTTCAACAGATGATTCAACTGGTCCTGTAGATCCGAGGACTGCTCAACACTAGAAATTAAGATAGAGAAAAAGATTTATGTGCAATTAACAATAAAGACATCTCTTTCGACAATCTATTTGTACTTTATGAATGCATAAGTACTGCTGAAACTAAATAAAAATTTATATTGGTTCACTAGGGTCCCAGAAGTATTTAAATTATGAAGGAAGGTTTTTGAAGCCAATTAGTAGTATAAAGATTAAAGCATTAGTAGTATAAAGAATATTACAAGGGACAGATTTAATCTATTCTACAAAAACAAGGTTGTTTTGAACCTATACCTCCAACTGTCATGCAATGTTGTAAACCAATGTTACCGCAACAAAAAATTGAGGGAAAAAACAGTTGTTTAATGGCTTTAGTACATTTACTCTACTTAATGAATATTATCAATCTAAAAGGTTTTCTATTCTTTAAGGTTGGCCTCAACACTCTAACTTTTTTTTTAATAATTGGGGTACAGGACAGGGGTGTGGGGAGTAAGAGGATTCACCAGAGACAGAGTTGAGAACAGAACAGGCAGATTGACTGACGTACACTGCTAAGGGGAGCAGCAGGTGAGTCAGATGTCTGCTGCACCATGTGGGTAGCTCCCTGGCCAGGTTTCAAACTCCTGCTGCAGTGGCTACAGATAGCTTCAAAGGTTGCGTCTCAATCCCTTGTGCCACCAGGGAGGCCCTACACTCTAACTTTTAGAAAGCCTTTCCTAGCAGTGAATTGACTTACCATATGTCATTCTTTATATCTCAAATGACCTACCCCCAGAGCACATGTCAATATAAGGGCATGTGTCAACCTGAATTTTGTACCAATTAGGCCCAGCAGTATAATTCCTCTCAGCCTTCTTCAGTAGGTCCCTCAAACCCCTATTTTGGGGGTTACTTACTTCTTCTGAATAGCTTCTTGCCTAAATCAGAAAAGGAAAGGAGAAATAAAGATAGGAAAACTCAGTGAACTAGTAGGTTATTTAAAGACAGAACAAATTTTCAGTTTATGTTACAGTCTCTATTTCTGCCCATCTTACCCTAAGACTGTACTATTGAACCCATGATCAACAGCTGAGTGCAGAACTGCTGAAGAGGGATTCTAAACCTAAAGACGTAATACTACTTTATCAGCATGAGAGATCCAACAAACTATATGCACGGCTCAAACTCAATCTGGGTATGAGGAGTCAAATGGTCACAAATGGATAATGTATACACCCAAAGAGTGAACATCTAGTTTTTAAAATAACAAGAACTAACTTCCCAATCAAACATTGCCAATAGGTACATAAGTATAGCAACAATTGCCTAAAGTATAAAATGAAGTAAAATGAAAAGCTAATTATAATTTTGGATAAAATTTTAATTAAAATATAATTTTATCTAAAATTGTAACAAAATCTCCTGGATGATCTATATGTAGCGAGGACTGGGTTATATGTGAGCACACAGGATGAAAAATCACAGTTACACCAGATGGCCTAGTGAAGGAGCAAACTCCCCTGGAGAGAGCATGAGCAAAGTCAAAAAACACTATTTAAGCGCTTACTGGATGCCAAGCACCTTACAGGCTTTCCTCTGAGGAGCCCTTGATTAACACAAGAGAAGTTCACAAAAAGTGACCCTTGCTCCTGATCTCCGCTCCTACTATAAATTCTTCTGCAGTCTCAGGCATCTTTGCCAGAAGAAACTCATCCTTGACTAACCACACTGTATTCCCCATGAAAATGTGCTGAAGCACAGGTAATGATTCTGCAGCAAGACATCACTGGCGAGGACATACTTACTGGTACTGAAGATGTGTTGTTATTATTGCCATTTTCCTTAAACTCTGAATAAAGAAAAACACACAAACACAGAGAAATAGAGCATTCCACTTCCCTATAATCACATAAACTATGTATGTAAAACCCAATCATGGAAGAAATTATTCCTTACGTCTTCTGAGTGCAAGATGGCATCTTCCTGTAGTACCATGTTTCGGGCTGCCTGACCTAGCAGCTGGAAGACAAAAACAAAATAGTAATAATCAAAATTGCCAAACTTCCTGTCTCTCTGTAGCTGTTATACTACTGCCCTCGCTATTCTTCCCACTCTCTCAATCTATACAACTACAAACACTCTAAATGTACCAAGAGGATAATTTTCCATTTGTTCACATTGAAAATCCATTCCATGGTCACTATGGCAGTTCTGGCACAAACTTGACATCTGTTGCAAAGGCCACTGCCTGCATTCCAGAGCTGCTGAGCTCTCTGCATGGCTTCTAGAGCAAGTGCTGAGAAGTCTGCAAAAAACACTGGCTCCACAGGCCCAATGAGAACTCTTTAAAGAGATCTGGGTGGTTTGAGAGGAGTATGAGAACAGGAGCTAAGGTGGGACTGAAAAAGACAAAGAATATAGCTGCTTAGATATGGCATGAGAGACCGAGGGTAAAGGGAATGGGAAGCAGCTGGGCTTCAGAATGGGAAACCACCCAGGAAGAAAGGCCAGATGGGAGAAAAAAAAGAAAGGAGAGATATGGAAGCAGATTGTAATGAGTTCATGGTCAGTTGGACCCTGAGACCAAGAGAGAAAAGCTGCACTCTGATTCAGCTGGGTTGCCCACGATCAAGGAGATCAGACTTAGTTAGCCCCAAGAGGCAAGCAGATATTAACAAGGGTGCTTTTTAATATTATGATTTGGGTTCAATCTACATAGTTTGTGTGGCTACAGGGAAATGAATGTTCTATTTCTTTGTTGCTGTTTTTAAGTCAGAGTTAAATATTGAACCCTGTTCCTGGCAGACAACAAGTCCAGCTATATAATGAGTGCTACTGCTATAGGTATCAAACCTTCCCCTACCCCATTGGGTCAGAGAGATTCTGGTGAATGGGAACATTGCTACCACCCCCAGATTTGTCCTCCACAGCAACTTTTATTTATTTGTTTTTCCTATTAAGTTTTAAAATTAGTAAAACTTTGTGCGCTTCTAAAGTGAAAAACAAAACAAAATAAGACCTTCCATCCCTGGCTAATTCTTCCCTGGCTCCACATCAGTCCCATTACTTCCATTACTGGAAGACCCTTGTTGCCAGTCCCTCGCTTCCTCCAGCCCTGTAGAACTCCAAGTCCCAGTCATGTGTAAGTGCATCTCCATCCACGCTGGTCAGGCCGTCATCTAGACTGGCAATGCTTACTGGAAGCTCTACTGACTGGAACACGGCATCTAGCCTGATGGCATCATGCCCAGTGACAAGACAACTGGGAAAGAAGATGGTGCCTTCAACACCTTCTTCAGCGAGACGGACACTGGCAAGCATGTGCCCTGGGCAGTAGCTATAGATCTGGAAGCCACAGTCAATGATGAAATTTGTAGTGGCACCTACCATCAGCGCTTCTACCATGAGCAGCTCATCACAGGCAAGGAACATGCTGCCAATAACTATGCCCGAGGGCACTAAACCATTGGCAAGGAAATCACTGACCTCCGCTTGGACCAAATTCTTAAGCTGGCTGACCAGCATATAAGTCTTTAGGGCAAGCTGGTTTTCCACAGCTCTGGTGGGGATCTGGTTCCAGGTCCACTTGCCTGCTAATGCAACATCTCTTTGTTGATTATGACAAGAAGTCCAATCTGGAATTCTCCCTTTACCCAGCCTTACAACTTCATTCTCACCATCCACACCACCTGGAGCATTCTCTGCCTCCATGGTAGACAATGAGTCCATCTATGACATCTGTTATAGAACATTTGATGCTGAGCTCCCAACATAAACTAACCTAAACTATCTTATTAGCTAGATTGTGTCCTCCATTACTGCTTCTCTCAGATCTGATGGAGCCCTAACTGCTGATAGGGCTTGTTAGGTCCTTGTTATCTCACATAGGTCCTTGTTATCTCTGCTAAGAAAGCCTATCATGAACAGCTTTCTGTGGCAGAGATTACCAATGCATGCGTTAAGCCAATCAACCAGATGGTGAAATGTGACCCTCACCATGGTAAATATATGTCTTCTGCCATATTGACATGGTTCCCAAAGATATGAATGCCATCACTGCCACCATCAAGACCAAGCACAGCATCCAGTTTGTAGATTGGTTTCAAAATTGGCATTAATTACCAGCCTCCCACTGTGATACCTGGTGGAGACCTGGCCAAAGTACAGTGAGCTATGTACTTGCTGAGCAACACCACAGCCACTGCTGAGGCCTGGACTACACTCTGATCTGGTGTATACCAAGTGTGCCTATATTCACTGATATGTGGGTGACAGTATGGAGGAGGGAAAGTTTTCTGAGGCCATGAGAACATGGCTGCCCTTGACAAGAGGTTGGAGCTTACAGTACTAATGAAAGGTTGAGAGCAAAGAGTTTTAAACCTGCTACAATTGTATATTCTATTACTTTGGGATTATTTTATTTCTGTTATTCTATGAAGCTGTCAATTGGACAGCTTAAACTGTCGATGAAAGTGGTTTCCCTTAAAAAAACAAAAAACAAAAAACAGGGGCCTCCCCGGTGGCGCAGCAGTTGAGCGCTGGGCTGCGAAGCAGCCCACAGCCTCTGCAGCACCAGTTTGATCCCCGGCCACCGGCAAGGGTCCCACAAGGCGTGCAGACCTCTCCCTGCCGTGACCCCTGCTCACCTCAGCAGTATATCTCATCAGACTGCCTGTTCTGCTCGCTGCTCTGGCTCTGGTGAATTCTCTCACCCTCCCGTGCTTCTGACTGTACCCAGTGCTTGTATAAATAAATAAATAAATCTTTAAAAAAAAAAAAACTTTCTTACTTGTCCTTTCACCTACCTGTTCTCTCTCCCCTGTCTCTAAATAGGTTTCACTGACTTTTGATTTCGCTTTCCATTGTTTCTTTTTAAAACAACGGACATCTGCATATATCCTCTCCCTCCATACCAAAAGTTTAATATACTCTTCCACACTCTGCTATTTTCACTTGATAATATACCCTGATTTGGATGTGTAGCAATATATACTGAATCTCTGTATAGCTGTTCTACTACAGCAGAGCATGCTACTGTATGAATATCCTATAAGATTATTTTTTTTTTTTTTTTTTAAAATAGAGGCATGTTTTATTTATTTATTTTATTTGTTTGTTTGTTTTGTTTATACATGCACTGGGTACAGTCAGAAGTGCGGGAGGGTGAGAGAATTCACCAGAGGCAGAGCGGGGAGCAGAGCAGGCAGAAGGACCGAAGTACACTGCTGAGGGGAGCAGCGGGCGGCAGGAGAGGTCGGCGCGCCATGTGGGACCCTCCTCTGGTGGCCGGAGAGCAGCCGGGGATCGAACCAGCCCCGCAGAGGCCGCGGGCAGCTTCGCAACCCAGCACTCAACCGCTGCGCCACCGGGGAGGCCCTCCTATAAGATTATTCATCCATTCCTTCACTGTGGAATTTAGGACTTTTTCCAGTCTTTTGTTAGTGGCAGTGTTACAAAAGAATAACTTCTGTATCTTTGCATCTTGTTACCAGTGTATCTTTGGGCTAGAGTAATAGAATTATGATTGTGGTTGCTAGATGAGAGAGGGTTTTAGTTTTGCTATCTATCGTCCAATTCCCCCTCCATTAAGGTTATAACATTTTGCATTCCCACCTACAATGTATGAGAGTGCCTATGCCCTCTTGTGGCCACTTTTAAGACACAAACTCCAAACTCCTGTAGATGGAAAATAGTAACTGACAAATCAATGGCAGAATTCTAGAAAGGATTTTAACAACCTCACTCACTCATTGAACAAATACTTCTACACGCTTATGATATGCCAGTAAAAGACACAGTCACTGGGGCCTCCCCGGTGGCGCAGCGGTTGAGCGCTGGGTTGCGAAGCTGCCCGCGGCCTCTGCGGCGCCGGTTCGATCCCCGGCTGCTCCCCGGCCACCGGAGGAGGGTCCCACATGGCACGCAGACCTCTCCTGCCGCCCGCTGCTCCCCTCAGCAGTGTACTTCGGTCCTTCTGCCTGCTCTGCTCCCCGCTCTGGCTCTGGTGAATTCTCCCACCCTCCCGTGCTTCTGACTGTACCCAGTGCATGTATAAACAAAACAAACAAACAAACAAATAAATAAATAAAGCATGCCTTTAAAAAAAAAAAAAAAAAAAAAAGACACAGTCACTGTCCTTACTGGGTTTACAATCTGGGGTTATGAAGTGTTGAAGGAGAAGCCTGGATGCCCTGGGAGCCAGTGGGACAGAGGGAATTGTTCAGGTAAGGCTTCTTCCTTTTTTCTTTTTTTTAAAGATTTATTTATTTATTCATACAAGCACTGGGTAAAGTCAGAAGCGCGGGAGGGTGAGAGAATTCACCAGAGCCAGAGCGGGGAACAGAACAGGCAGGCTGACGTATCAGGGTAGGAGAGGTCTGCGCACCATGTGGGACCCTTGCCAGTGGCCGGGGATCAAACCGGCCGGGCGCTGCAGAGGCTGCAGGCAGCTTGCAGCCCAGCGCTCAACAGCTGCACCACCAGGGGAAGCCCCAGGTAAGGCTTCTTAAAAAGTGACTTCTGGGCCTCCCTGGTGACACAAGGGGTTAAGCACTGCACTATGAAGCAATTTGCAGCCTCTGCAGCATGAGTTCGATCCCCAGCAGGCCAGAGAGAAACCCACATGGCGAAGCAAACCTCTCCTATCTCGCTCGCTGCTCCCTTCAGCAGTGTATTTCAGTCAGTCTGTCTGTTCTGTTTCCCACTCTGTCTCTGGTGAATCCTCTCACCCTCCCCCCCACCCCTGCATCTCTGTCCTGTACCCCAGCTCTTGTATGCATAAATAAATAAATCTTTTAAAAAAAAAGTGACTTCTACTGCTGAGACTAATGCTGAGACTAACAGTTGGAGTTTAGAATTCCTTTTGCATGTAATTTCAATAAAAAGTGAATGGACTTGAAGGGGATGTACATGCAGACATTGGTTAGGAGAAGACTGCAGCATTCAAGCAAGCAATGAGAGTGACCTGAACTATATTAGTGACAGTATAAAAAAAAAAAAAAAAGGTTGGGGGTATGCAGGATTCTTGAGAGACATTTAGAAGACAGACTGGATGGGACTGTGACTGTCTAGAATGTAGAGGTTGTTGAAAAGTAGGGCTAAGACAACTTTTCTTGGATGATAAATATATTCATTGGCAATTCAAGGGCAACATAGATGTGATAAATGTTATACAAGAGATACAGTAAGAACAAAATTTCAGAGAATTGAGATATCATGTAATAATCCTGTCTCAGAAAGCAAAATGATCTCAGTTTAACTCCATCAACACTGAGCACCCAATCTGAACCTCCTATAGAAGCAGTCATGTGAAAATATACAAGAAGGAATGGGAAAGAGCAGACCTCATTAGGGCAGTCAGTGGTGACATAGTGGATTCTTGGCCATTTAATCCAGCTAGTACCACATGAGAAAGGGAGTCCAAGAATGTGGACCTAGAACCATCTATGTAGATTTGAATCCAACCTTTACCTCTTCCTAGCAACTGAGTCATCTTGAACAAGTTAAATTTCTCTTTGTATTCTCTATGCAAAAGAACCTCCCTTATTAGTGATAGTAAAGACAGTGA